TTCAGCATGTGGTATGAGCTTTCAGCATGTGGTATGAGCTTTCTCACAAAGGCTTGGAGAAACCTAGCATATCTACCAGACAATTAATAATCTTATGACCTTTTACTTTATAAACATATTCAGGCAACAAACTGAAAAATGTTAAGGTCAAGCCTTTAAGCCTTAAGGTCAAGCCTTTAAGCCTAAGAAAAGTCAGTCTTTTGTGGATTTGCACCATCCCTTCTAATGCTCTTTGGGAAATTAACCTTTTATGATTTTCAAAATGTGATAAGATGATTACCATCCTCCTCTGTGGAAAACCCTTGAGATTGATAATGAGCAAGATGTGGGTCTGACTCGTTTGGTTTATGCCACTGAGGTTTGTTAACAGGCCTGATAGAGGAATGACCCTGTGATTGCTGCTGTGAAGGTGAAGCTGAAGTCCCAGGGGCTTCACTAGACCGTGCCACCATCCTAGACCTCTGAAGTGCTACGTTGTAATCTGGAGGTTTTCGGGCTGGATGGGAAATTCCTTCTGCAAAGTCAATAGGTATTCCTACATAACCCGGTGGGGTTGGTGGCGGTTCACGATAGCGACCCTCTTTTCGAGCTGCAGTAAAATAATACACTATTAGCAATAATTTGCAAATGTTTGTTTACTTCATAATACCAACTGGTATTGACTCTGTATTAAGTTATGTGCATTGTCTTCCAAACCATCATACACATCATAACAATGAAGAATTAAAAAAAAAAATCCACCAAAAGGCAAGCCTGATTACATGAGCCAGCCAAAAGGCAGATATGTTTACAATTTTACTGATTCTAATGGGGAGCTGAACGTGGATTTATAACTTTTCTATCAAGTAAATATCATTCAAAAGTATTTAATTTGGCTTCATTTTGCAGCTGTATCTATCTACACAGTTTATACATTATTTTAATGTGTGTGTCTGAGCCATATGACACAGGTAGAAAAAGCAAAGCTACAGGAAAGATGAAAAAGGAACTAGTGGAATTTTAAAACCTGAACCATTTTAGAAAGCACTTTATAAAAGGAGTTCATGAAGGAATGGTGACAACTGGAAAAGAATCTTAACTTTAGAACTATAAAAATATAGTTACTATAAAGATGCTATGTAATATGGTGTAATATCACTATATTTTCATTGTTTAGAAAAGAAGGTAAATAGCACTAATCCAGTTTGCAACTTAAATTATTTAAAATGTTTATATAGCTCCCTCAATTATAACAAAATTCATGTTTTGCCTTTCAGCATAATTCAATAAAATCAGTAAAATCATGTTATTAATATTAAAATAAATGAAGCATATAATTTGAAGCACTCTTCAAACAAAATCATTGTTTTTGTTTATTTTTAAATTCACTATACATTTGAAGTATTTTTTCCCAAAAATGAATTATTCAAGATGCACAAAATAAAAATGATAAATGTATGAACTAATATAAAAAGCAAAGCATCCGGATAGGCAAAAAGGCAACGTAAGCCTTTTTGTGGGGAGGGAGAAGTGAAAAATCAATTCTCAGACAAAATGAGCAAAGAAGGAATTGTAATTATGTAGGTTGTGATCAATGTAGGTTCTCCTTTGGCACATTCCAACTCCCAACTCAACCTGAATTTTTTACATTAAAAAAGAAGTGTGCATAGGGGAAGCTGGCATGTTGCAAAGGATCAGCTTCCTAGCATGATTTCTGTTTCTAAGACCCATAACCTTTCTTAGAAAATCTTAGAAAATAAACTGATGGGTGACTGCAGCCCAGACCTTTGTTGGAAAGTCAGCTCAATTGTTAGAAAAAAGGACAAAAGTTACAAGGAAACATTGTGGTGCTTAGTAACTTGCTATTTTATAAAAGGGAAAGTACCCCTACAGCCATTTAATGAGAACACCAAAATGGTTTCCAACATCTTTTCCAAATTCCAAAAACCCATCAGCCAAAAGCTGACATGGTTTAATTATATGATGATCACTTAGCCAAATCAAATTGTCAGTCTACTCAGAATGAGAGCAATGCTTCCTGATCTCAACTAAATTTGATTTAACTGGGTCACTACAGCAAACATGGTTGCTGTATGATTACAAAACCATTATAATACTAAGGTGTATGATCAATAATTTGCTTTGATCCCTTCATGACAACCTTCTACAATCTGGTCATTTCCAGAGGTTTTGGACTTCAACTGCTATAATACTCAGCCAGAATGACCTTTGGAAGTTAGGGGAAACTGATGGTGAAGGTGGGCTTAGGTAGAACCTATAGGCTGGAGTAGATTGGGTGGGAAGCAGCAATTGTACATAGGAAATTCATCTTCTCCATATTCCTTAATGTTTACACACACAGTCTTTAGGGGTGTGTATTGCTTTGTGCAAATGATCTTAATAATTTGGCTTTAGTGACATGATGATTATGGTGACAATAATAATAACAGTATCTGCAACAGAAAGCATTACTTTTCACAGTGCAAATGGTTTTATGGAAAAAACAAAACATGAGGTAAAGGTTGCCCTCTGGCTACATTTTTTAAAAGGCTAAAGAAAAATATCTGTAAAATAAATTCATAACAAATATGTAGGATAGTTTGCGGAAAACAAAATTAAACTTACCAATAAGACCCTTTGTATTACTTGTTGGCATAGCTATATGAGCTGGCATAGGAACTGGCTTTGAATCCTCTGCTGTTATAGATGTTATGCTACTGGATTCAGCTTCAATTGATACATCTTTCCCCCCCCTCCGTTTTATGGTACCTGTATCACCTTCAGAGTCCTCTCCCCAGTAGCCTGTGGAGGATGCCCAGCTTGCTCTGGACTGTGCTTGATCAAGGCCCTCCCTACCTTGACTCTGCCTGCCATACTTTGTGCCATGATCGGAGAACATCATCGGGTCCATGTGACTGCCTGAGGCCCACAGTCCTGCCCCATCGCCTGAATTATCGAAATGAACATGTCCAAAAGGAAGAGTTTCCCAACTTCGCTGATGCTGTATTGTCTGTATGTTGTCATGGGAACCACTTGAGCAAGAAGTCCAACTGCCTCGGCCACTATCTGCTGCATCAAGTGATGCTCGATCTCCCTGATCCTGTGACAGTTCCTCCGTACTGGGAGAAGAAAGAATGGTTGCTGCAGCATAGAATCCTCTGTTTTCTGATAGTGGTGCATAGGAGCTAAAAGTGTATAACAAAGAAATAATTAGTCACCATAACCCACCCCTATGATATAGCTAATCGTTACTGGTATTAGAGGATTTATTATTTACTCTAAGAAGGCAAATTTTAAACTTTGTTTCCTCTGAATACATTAAAAAGTTATTCCTCCCTTACTTATATTCTGCAATTATACAAAGCACTTTAATCAATTCAAAATTTCAGAAAGTTGCCCAACAAACTTTTAATTAAACTGTTACGATAGGTTGGCAAACATAACTATAGACTTTTAAAGTTGGTTCACAAAGAGAAATGTGGAAACCTTCACTCTTAATAATACAAGTTTCTTTACCAATATCCAATCATCTCATGAAGAATATATGTAAGCTGTACTTTGTTCAAGTAAATCTTAATATGGGAATTTACATATTTGTTATGCATTTCAAAGTGCTTCGTTTTTGAAGCCATAGCCCAACATTTTGCAAAAACAAAAACAAAAAAACAAAAACCCTCAAGCAAACTAAAAAAAAGCCCTTCTGGTGGAAACGGTGAAGGCAGGCCTTAAGCCAGTAATGTCGTTTGCGGGAAGGCAGATTCAACTTGGATCAGCTTCAGTATTGCATACAGATAATGTCCAAATACTTTCCTTAACTAAATCTATCATAGTCAGTCCTATTTCAAGTAAGACAAGGTTGGATTTTCAACATGTATTTTTCTATTTTTATGTTAGTGGCTCTCAGAGAAAAGAATATAAATGAAATAAATAAGAAAATATTCAAATCTAAATAGCAAAAGAACAGATTAATTGTAGAAACATGTATGTATGTATGCAGATAATAGTTGCAGAAAGGACCTATCTATATTTATGTGCTGATCTACTGTTTCAGTCTTTTTGGAATTGAATCTGAAAGTGCAGCAGAGTCCTAACGTAGATCTGTATTACAGATCTTACAGATTTAATCTTACATATCTTATAGGTTTAATCTTAGACATCTTATAGTTTCTAAGTCATCAAAAGGCAAAATTGGTAAAGTAATAAAATATAACAACTTTTATGTTGAAAACCTGATCCACAGAGGGGAATAAATGAATTAAAATCATATAGAAATCTTAAATATAATTACATAGACATGAACATCATACCCTAAACTATACTGATCTGGTTCAATCATGGCTCTTCTTTCCATCCTGCCCACTCCAAGATTAGTCTCGACAATGCTGACTGAGTGCCTCTGTCTCCTTTCATCTTGTAGGGATACTGGCATGGAGTCAAAAGAAGAATTGCTGACAATGCTAGATCGGGAAGAAATTTCACTGTGACCAGAGTCTGAAAAGTTATCCACTGTGCCACTAGGAGCCAGCATGTAACCTGCAGAAAGAGTGTTTTAATCATTTAATAACAAACTTTCCATAATTTATATAAAGATTACAAAAAAGCAGAACAAGTTCAAATGTCTTCTTATTCCAAGAGCAAATAAAGTACAGTGGAATATTTACAATATCATCTCATTTCCAAGATGTTGAGTTTGAAAAGGAGGAAGTATAATATGTAATGTGTTATTTTGATAAATGTATCTGTTTTTTATCAGTTTGAAACCATACTCTGCACAGTCTGTTCTTTTTCAGTCCTGCTGAATCTAGTCTAGTCATTTGGCAGGCACGGTTCCTTCATAATGGACAACTATACTTGCAAATTTCATTCAGTTCTGACAGAAATAAACATATTTGGCTATTCTATCATTTCAAAATTTAAAAATGTGTAGCAGTGATTCACTTCCCTCAAACTTACTGATGTGCTTTTTGAAAGAATTTATCTCCACATATGGGTCTGCTATGCCTGAAAATGCATGTAATCCAATTATTTATTTATTAAATTTCCATACTGCTGCAATTGTAAGATTCTTGGCAGCAGACAAAAACAAGCATAACTCATCCACAGCTTAAATAAATAAATGTCCATGATACAGTAAGAAATGATAGTTAAAAATAACCACCATTTAGTCTAAAGTAGTGTTTCTCAACCTTGGCTACTTTAAGCTGTGTGGACTTCAACTATCAGAAATCTGGGAGTTGAAGTCCACACAGCTTAAAATGACCAAGGTTGAGAAACACTGGTCTAAAGACAGAGCAAGGGATAAAGAAAACATATTTACAAGATTCATTATCTTATAATGAAGTTTTTAAAAAGCCCTTCAGAAATGCTCTGTACTGTTGCTTCCAGAAGCCCACTAGTGTTCGGGCAAACGAAACATCCAGGGAAAGGCTTCCCTGCAGTGTATGGGTCACAACCGAGAAACCTCTTTTCCCAGCCATAGCCCCCCAGCTTCACATAAGTCAGGAGAACTGACTTTTCTGAGAAAAAACAAAACAAAACCAGAAATAAAGTTATAGAACTTGTGATTATGAAATGACTATCAAAAATTTGGCATTGGCTGTGTCAATCAGGCTCCTCTAAATCTGTTCAGATGAATCAGCATTTTTTCTAAATTTTCCAGTCAACTGAATCTATAGGGAATGCATAAAGCTGTAAGCAGTGTTTTGAGACAATGAAGTGTTTAACATTGCCTATAACATTTATACACATTTTGCTTACATTTTAATATAAATTTAAGAACACAAAGAAAATGATTCTCTTAAGGGACTCTATAGCATAACATAATTTATTAAAGAGGCAAATGTCTCTTTACACTAAAGCATTATTTACTGCATTTTTGGCAAAGTACTGTATTTTTGGCAACCAATGATTATGATTATTGTTAGCTATTACTATAGCCAATTATGATTAGAGAAGAGAGCATGTGAGAAATTAAAAGTATTTTATAGCACTTGTATACATTTCCTTGGAGAGCTCTGAGGTGAGGTGGGAGGAGAAGATAACTGTGAAGAAGCATTTGAAATTGTGTCTTCTGCTTGCTTCTTAAGGCGGTCCAAACTTCCTTCTTCAGAGAGTGAAAGAATCTTCTTTAAAGCTTGTGGGGAGTTTATGCCTTAAAAGAAAATGGAAAACAAACTTCAGATATGCATATACTATTTCCTCAGAATGTGCACCTTAAGGCACCTCATGGACCATTCAAAGGTAATATTAATTACATTTTAACTCACCATTTCTCCATACAGCTCATTACCCATTTACATTAATTTTCACTACTGCCCTATGAAATTATGCAGAGACAGAAAGGGTGACTATCCAAATCTCAATAGTGTGTGATACTCTTGTTAATGCCAACTCATGCAATTCATAAATTATGATTCTGAAGAAATAATTGATGTGTAAATTTCATCATGGTCTAAGTAAAAAAGTAAGCTTGAAGAAAATACATGCAAATAATAATAAATTCACTTAATCAAAAAACATGGTTTAAACTGGGCAGATAGGAATAGATATGTTTAAATATGGCCATATCAATATGCCATGCACTATTTTCAAGGGAATAAATATATAAACTGTTATATCAAGATGCATAATTCATAAGTGTGTAAGTAACACGCCACTCTTGATTCAGCAAACACGAGTATATAAATAAGCTTCAGCACACCCATTTGAGATATTGTTTAATGAGCTATACTTGGCAGTTAACTGCAAGTCTCGTGTAGTAAGACAAGAACCATTAATCCAACTATCAGAGCAATAAGTCTTTGCATACTCTTTCAACAGAAGATAGAATATAAAATAAATGAATAATTAAATAAAATATTCCTTTCAGAGGTTTGTATACCCTCATTGACATTGGCTATAAGTTATCTTGACATCAAACTAGCTATCTCATTTCTAATTGGCTGAAGTTAGAAAGCCAGGAAGAAAAATACTGGTGTTTTGTTCTGAATATTTTAGAGTAGCTGTTTAGAGGGACAGCAAATAAGTGTAAATAGATATACTGGGAGCATTTATGGACATTCTGGCTGCGCTCATGGTATAAATAATATGGTCAAAATCACCAAATTCAGCACAGCTTTACTTTCTCTGGACCCCATGACTGTCAAGTTTTTTTTCTTCAAAAAAATGCCATGTGAAGCAACATCAGTTATAAGCCTGATTATGACGACACTTGGCCAGGTCTTGGCTATACTAATATGCTTTACAAAACTGCAATGTAAGTTATTCTGCACTGCACTTCAAATATACCATCTGAGTTTAGAGAAATCTTATGGAGAATATATTGAAAGTCTAATGGAAGCAACAATGAAATTTCAAAAGTAATTTATTATGTTAAGATTCAGAAAAGATGGGTATCTTCCTGATTATTCCTAATTTGACTTTGAGGACTGTGACAGTTATCATTTAGTGAATTAATTCCATGTTTTAAAAAAATATTCTTGCCCAAGTAAAATGTGACAATGATAATGAAGACATTTCCCTTGTTAATGACTGGTTACAATGCTTTCCATTGCCAAGTGAAAATACAATATAGAAGCATTAACTTAACAAAATAACCATTTTGTTATTTGGTTTGATTTTGCAGTCCCATTTAGGGGAGCCTGCAATCCAAAACTGGGTTCTCCACAGTGGCAGCCCTGCTCTGGAGCAGCTTGCTCCAGAGATCTGCCTGGCACCTTCCAATTAGTCTTCCACAAGTTTGTTAAAACAGCGTTATCTGAGTTGGCATTTGAGGTTTAGATGGATATTTGAGTGTGTGGGCAACCCCTACATTTTAATGTCTGTGTTTTTTTTCTCTGTGTTACAAATTGTCAGGAGTGTTATCAAGCTGGGCAGTATTAAGGTACTGTGAAATAACTAACTAGATATATGAACTTCCGGGAGAAGTATGAAGAATTGAAGATGGCTCTGCAAAACCGGAGCCGATGATTGCAGCAAAGACCAAGGAACTGGTAAGTAACCAATAAATAATTTCTTGATTTCAAAAACTGGACACTAGAGGGGATTAAAGATTTTAGGTAGAGGAAAGATATACAGGCCTGCAAGATAGTGCAAAATGTTCTAACAATAAAAAGACCGAAGGAAACTTTTGAAGAATGGAATCAGAAAATAGTAGCCATAATATCAACAATGTCAGTAATGATGTCTACTTCTATGGATTCTACTTCTATGTCCAAAAGATGTTATTGAAGAAATGTCAGTTGTAGAACCAATCTTATCTAACAAGATAGAGATGGAACTGCAAGTGGATTTACAACTGATGGCCAAGAGAATGATTTAGAAAAGTATGTTTCACAGGATCTACAAAGGAAGTTGGCTGAGATTTTAAAATTTTAAAGGGAAATACAATGACAAAGCAAGACAGTGACCTGGCCAGTTTCTTCCTACTGGATTTACAAAAGAGGCTTGTTAAAGCCTTGAAGAAGTCTGTGTGATGGGACAAAGAAGAAATGAAGAGAAATCAAATCCTATGACAATATTTGAATGAACTAAAAATTAAGACTGTTAGAAGTAAAGGAAAGGAATATAAACTTGGTTTATTTGGTCAAGGTTAAAATAATATATGTTGTTACCTCTGACTACCTTTTATGGAACTTCTGCTGACACCAGGACTGAAAAGTTGATGCTATATGGATTTGTTATAGATAAGAGATGGGATATAGGATATGGGATGAAGAGATAAATGTAACTTTAGAGAGGGTGAAGAGTTACTAAATTTGTTT